TCCCCAAAGTTTTATTAATCAGGGGCATTCATGTCAAGAAATCTCCCCAAAGTTCTATTAATCTGAGGCAGTCACGTCGAGAAATCTTTCCAAAGGTCAGCTAATCTGGGGCAGTCATGTCGAGATTCTACAAATCTCTCGAAGATCAATCAGACAGGGGAAAAATTACTACAAGGCTCGCATTGAGGTAGATCACTCTAAGAGCACGAAAATTATCCTCCCCAAAGGACAATTAATTAGAGTCACGTTTCCAGAATACATACTGGGGCCGAATACTTCAAATTTTCATAATAATTCCTGAGGAAGGTTCCTTCATAGGTTATACCATACGGGGAACATTTTTTCACATCACATCTGCAGGATTCAGGTTGATAGCTAACACGTGGTATCTCTAGTAGGGTTTCTCTTTCCACATAGTATTGGTATAAGTGTTCCTTATCAAGATCAGGAAGTGTAGTTTCCTCAGCGGAGTCTCATGGTTTCGTATTCTCCCCAGAAAAGTTGGTTCTAATGATACATCCCTGGCAAGGTCATTATTCTCTGCAGTTTAAGGCCCGGGGGTTCTTGACATTTTCAGCAGGTTAAAGCCTAATCTTCATTGGTAGTTTCCCGACAGAGGTGAAGTTTTTTCACCACAGATGCTGGAAGATTAGTAATTCTGGTGTTATTTTCCCAGAAGTAGGTTGTTACTCGTGGAGTGGAAGTTTAAGTTGATTGTGACTCCGAAGACAGCTCGGTTTATCTTTCCAGGCAGAGTTGGTTTCAACACTTTTCTCGGCGGAGTGTCTTTTGCATATCATAAGCATCATTACATTGCATCATTACATTGCATCTTCATAATGCGTAGCATTCCCATCTGTATGGAGCATTACGCCATGAAAAATTCAATCATGCATTTGAAGCATAAGTCAGGTTTGATATTCTCTTTTCCAAACCCATCCCCAACAAAAAGTGGTGTAACTCAGGAGAGATCGTCTAACTTTATCCCCAAGCAGGTATTCTAACCAATCCTTAGGGTATAGATCTGTCAATCTTACCCTATAATCGTCATTCCCTAGCAGAGTCATCTATGTAAGAGTCCATTATCCCCTCAAAGTCGTTCAATAGTTTATTCTTGACTTTTTCACCCATCTTTTGACTATTAGATCGTTAATCCCAATATTGTCGTCAACACTCGTTCGTGTTTGTTTCGTTCTCGTCAATACTCGTCCGTATTGATCCTAGATTTTTAGACACTCGTATGTGGTCATTTCAATCTCATCAATGTTCGTCTGTATTGATCTTAGACACTCGTCGTGATCTTTCAACACTCGTCCGTGTTTGTTTCATTCTCATCAATACTCGTCCGTATTGATCCTAGATTTTTAGACACTCATCCGTGTTCATTTCAATTTCATCAATGCTCATCCATATTGATCTTAGACACTCGTCGTGCTCTTTCAACACTCCTCCATGTTTGTTTCAGTTTCATCAATACTCGTCTGTATTGATCCTAGATTTTAGACACTCGTCGTGATCTTTTAACACTCGTCCGTGGTTATTTCAATAATACTCGTCCGCGATCTTTCGACACTCGTCCGTGTTTGTTTCATCTTCATTAATACCCGTCTGCATTGGTCTTAGATTTTAGACACTCGTCGTGCTCTTCAACACTCGACCGTGTTTGTTTCAGTTTCATCAATACTCGTCCGTATTGATCTTAGACTTTCATTTTTACCCTCAAAACTTGTTTGTGCTTATCCCCGGTGTAGTTGTCACTCGTTCGTGTTAATTTTTATTTTTATCAATACTTCGTCCGTATTGATTCCTCAAATCCTATTTGCTCAATTTCCATAAACGGTTTCGTTGGTTTTATTCCCCAACGGAGTCATTTCTACCCCTGCATATTGCAAATTTTATGGTTCTTTTGATATTCAATCCCCTTCTACCTTGAATGTTTGAAAGGCGTCACTCTTCATATCTCTAGGTTTAAGTTGATTGAATAAGGACAGTTGTTGTACCCTAAAAATTTTCCTCACTGTATCCTAACCCTAACCGGTTGTCGCTCCACATTCATGTACATTTTCATTTGGACATTATCATGCATCTTACAGACATGCGATCAAAGTTTTCTCTATGGCACAATTTTTTTCAATTCAAGGAAGATGAAATCATATCATCATTGGTGATACAAATTATTGATTGAATTAGGATGGTTACAATTGAGTTTAATTCTTCCGAGGTCATCAAAATCTCTTTGGAAAGATGCATTTGGATAGGTGGTTTAAGCCCTGACTCAATCGACTTTATACCAAGGATTGTTTCAAGTGGTACCAGGAACTAAGAGTCTAAATATATGGTCATCCGTAATTACAAGTTTCAATTAAAAAATCAAGTTATTCAAAACTATTAGCACCAGGCAAGTTCAAATGTTGATGATTTACGAAAGTCCAAAGAAGGTAAACATGATAAGAGCTCATGTGCAGGGCGGCACATTGGCACATACATCTACATAAGCTTAATGCTTGTAACTTGTGTTCACTTGGAATATTATGAAATATGTGAGACATAGGTGAAGTTTCTAAATGGACATGTCGTACCACAACGCAACATTAACTTCCAAAGATTCAAAGTATGCAAACATCAATGTTCTTTGCAAATTGATTTTAAATTAATATCAAGTGTTACAGTACAAGCCTCCCCAAGCCTAAAAAGAATACGTCCCACCTTTGGAGGGATCGCCATGCAGATAGGATCTTCTTTTTTACTTTAATCAGAGAGTTAGTTGTCCAAGTCCATAGCATAATAGTGAAGATTGTTCAATTCACGGGCATAACGAGTCGTCTAATTGTTGGTGTGAGAAGCTGCTTTGAAATCAATACCAGACATTATGCCCAGACGCGTGGTAGAACATTTACGCAATTTTGTACAGGCGGATTTAGATGATCTTGCTGAAACTGGTCGTCTTTCAGGAGCTTGGATTTAGTGCTGAAATTCAGGAGCTTGTCTTCGTATATCACAGGAAAAAGGAGAACCGTGTTTTCCCTATTAAGACCGCCGCATCCTCCTGCTGTTCATGCCGGACAAAGGTACGGTTAGAATAAAAAGGACATAAAAAAAAGGGGGAGATATATGTCAAGAAGTACAAACTCACAATTCCCTGCAAAGATCAAACATACAAATTCGAAAGCCCGAACTTTATCACCGCAGCAACAGTCGTTGTCAAGTTTAATCACGATGCCAAGGAGTCAAAACAGGTAGTCATTAGGATACTAATCCAAGTAAAAGGAGATCGGTTAGCTCTATTGGATAGAAGTAATGAGCTTCGTGGTTCAGTGCTGTCGGTTCCGGTATGTTATAAAGGCTCATTCCATCCCGCTCAATACAAAGGAGCATTTTCCTGCACAAATTGAAGATAACATTAATTTCCAAACGGGATAGGATGAAATAACACAATGTAATTTCAGTATTAACTCCATGTTTGAAAGCATCAACAAGACCTGTGATCACTTAACGAATGCATTATGAGCCGGCAATCCCAAAACCGACAAAAACATAATGCAATCAAAATGAAACTTATTTTTACCTCATGCTGGAGAAAGTTGGAAAGAGCAAAGAAGTCTTCTTCATGTACGATGTTGAGTTCCAAGAGAATGATAGTAGAAGTGGATGTTTTGATTTGTTACGGTGAAATTCGACCTCAAATTCTTTACACCAAACAGACTGCCCACCCACACCGTCTTCTAAAGCATCACCTGTGTGTATCATGAAGCCTTGGTGACCCTGTGAAAAGAGTTTGTCATAATAATTATTTCGGCAGTGAGAATCCCAAATGAGGAAGAAGGATGAGAAGGTCGAAGAGTTACGCAGAATTGTTCATACCTCGGCAGTCCCAACCGTATGCTGTTATCCAAGTACTCACAAATCTATCCATCACCAGTCCATGAGTTAAAACAATAAATCAACAGCATCACAACTTGGCAGAAATTATCGTCATCAATTCACCAAGAAATAAGCGTAAAAAACGGAACAAAGGGCTTCGGCATTAATTTTGCGAATCACAAAATCAGAATACAACAAATTGAAAGTAGAAAGAATTCAAGCCCAACCAACAAACTGGATGCAAAGTGGAGGTAACAAAGCTGGTGGTCGTGGAAACTCTTTTGAAGTAACCAGTGGAAAGGGTGGCGGATCACGGCATCGTCATCATAATCACAATTCTGAGATGGTTTCTTCGTCGGGGACACTACCTCCAGCTGCAATTACCGCAATGGTCCAGACATGGAAAAAGCAATGAGTATGAAAAACAGTAAGTTCAGTACATAAAATGGAAGAGGCAAGGACGGTCAAAGGAAGCCGATAAAACCTGAAGCTGCAACTATTCTCATTTCAAGATGCATTGAACTCCTCTGTAAAAGCAAACCGAGTCACGACCATTGTTGGTCTGAGCCAGTGGAAACTCAACATCAATAACGAGTCCAAAACATCACCATTCTGTCAAATTCAAGCAAATGAAACAGTTCATGGTTAGAAAATTCGTTACTAATACCAGAGAAATAATAAGTCTCCCAAAATCACCTTTCTAAACCTTGAGCACTTGTGGATCTTGATGCTGCTATTCCATCTGTTTTAATAAACAAACATCATTAGGGAAATACAGTGGACATTGCAAACTGATTACGGCTGTATAACAATAAGAATAGGGAATATGAAGAAGTTATTGAAGCCTTATGAGTACCACTGATCATCCCAAAGCCAAGAAACAGAAATCTGATACATCTCTAATCCGTGTAACTTTCAGCCACTACAGACATTTCGATTTACCATACAATAGCTTTAGAATAGTCACAAGAACCAACCTGAATAGCAGAATTTGACGAGCAAAGTGATGGGAGTAAGAGTTTAGTGCTGAACCGTTTCGTTGGCAGCTTCAACCGCGTCTGACCCAAGTTACCGGCAAAGGATCTGATTGAAATACGATAAAATTGCTGGTTCACTCACCCATCTGGAATGCAACACACTCAAGCTTTTGAGTGCCTATTTCCTCCGCCATGCCTTGTTTGGTTAACCTTCCTGCTACACAAAATTCACCATAAGATGGATTGAACAAGAAAGGAAAATATCAGCACACGATTTTCTACTTCACAGTGAAGAAATCACGAACATTAAAAGTCAAAATCAGAAACGACAATTCAGAAGCAACAAGTGTGAAATATGTCTATGAAAGAAAAAGGGGGAACCACGTGGAAAAGAAGAGGAAATGGAAGACAAAGGGGGAACCACGTGGAAAATAGGATTCTCACAAGAAAGAAAAAGCAGAAGAATAGAGAAAAAGTCGCGAGAACTCACAACCACGACGTGAATGCAGTCGCCATCGCCGTGCGTCGCGATTTCATTTGCACGAACTCGATACAAGCGTCGTCCATGACACTATCTCCGTTGAACCTCTGAACATAGCTGCCGCACACTAGGCCACGCAGCTCAGACCAACGACCGTTGCTGGTGACCTCTTTAGCTGCGACTCGGACGAAGTTCGACGCAGCCACCGCAATTGTTAGGTTATGAATTTCTTCCTCCTCAACTCTAATTGATTATGTATAAATACTTGTGGACATTATAAAGATATCAAGACACTAAACAAGACATGCCCGGCTTCAATTCTATTAACAAAAATCAGCATCAATAAATAGCAGCTAACTAGTATCCATGTATACCTTACATTTTGATCCTTGCATGTTTAAAGGCCAAAAGGACGTTGCCATCGAATAGAAAACCCCGTGAAATATACTATATGAGATATCACCACAGCTTAATGTTTGTATGGAAAATGATTGTCTTCTTTCTATATTCTTTGCCAATATTTGCTCAACACTATGAGGTGTAGACAAAGAAATATTCTGAAGTATACAACAAACTGAAACACCCCTAAAAACCCTCAAATGAATGGTCTATAAGATGTGATGACAATAATCATGCAGAACAATAGAGCAAAAAAATTGCCCTGACAAAATCAGCCCTGCAAGAAGTTAAGGAAATTGTCAATAATAATGGCATTAATGATCCCAACATCATGGAAACATTTTAAACGTTAATGAATTTAATAGAAAATGATCCCACGACCAAAAATAAAATAGTGCATGTTTGTTTTTCCATTGGGGCAGCAAGCCCAAATGATCAATTCTCTATAAGCACCAAGAGACATGTTCATACATATCCACACAATGGAACGCGTGCAAATGAAGAATAGACACACACTTAAAGAAAGAAACTTCGTGGGTATTTCATGTCAAAGACCAAAAGTCCAAGTGAAAATGGATGTGCCTATTTCTTTTAACAAAACAACTCCCATATCACAATCACTCTAAAAAATCCTAAAGCAATTAAGTAAATTTCAAAATATCATGTGTTTAGATTCCGTATTAGTTAGACATGTCGTTTTCTAGTTTAAAGTAAAAGCCTGAAAGGCAGCATGCAAGAACATACCTCTTAATTGAACCTTGTAAGGATTAAAGGGCACCTTTGGTTCATCACAAAGTGTAGCGAGCCTCTTGATTTATGACCAGTTTCCTAGATGGGGATATTCAATGAAGAGCCACATAAAGAAACACGTTCATCTGAATCAATCAATGTGATTTAATCTCTTTGGAGATAAATTTTTCTTTGCTTTCTGTTTAGGTATTGGTCTATAAGATACACTGTCCTGCTATATTCATTTGAATCTAAACGGTATCCAAAAGATTCCATTCTACCAATAAGATCAATAGCCCACTCTTTATAATCTCGGGAAACAAGAAGAAACACAAGGAGATGATTACAAATCATTGGCCTCAACATGAAACCTCTGTCAAGAGTGTAAAGAAATACTTTTACAGCGTCATCTAGCTTCCCTTCTTTACAAAGACCTTTGATCAAATGTACACAACTTGTAGCATTGATTTTGATATTGAACTTGTCAAGAACAGAGAATATAATTAATGCTTCATATACTCTTCCTACCTGACAGAATCCAATAAGTAGGATTGTATATGGAGCTAATTTAAAATCTCTGGCCCTGAAGTCCAGTTCAAGTAAACCTCGAATCACTAGGTCCAATTTTCCTCCAACTAAATATCCTTCCAGCGCACTGATTGAGTCATTGTCCCGACTAGGAAGGCTCTTCAAATATTCCAAATAAAGACTGAACGCTAGTGAGACCTTGCTCTTTCTACACAACCATGTCATAAGCCCTCTATAAAGTGAAAGGGTGGGTTCACAGCCAGCCTTCTGCATACGGTCGTAAATCTTTAAGGCATCCTTTTCTCGGTCAACTTTATATAGCCCATTAATAAGTGTCCCGTAAGTAACAGTATCGGGTGAGAGACCCTTCTTTTGGAGATCCTCAAAAAGCATGAAAGCACCTTTAATATTATAAGCCCTGCAAAAAGCGTTGATTAGAGTGTTGTATGTAATAATGTCAGGCACAACCCCACTATCAGCAAGTTGAGTGAGAAACTTGTAAGCATCCAAAAATTTTCCAGCCTCACACATTTGCTCCACCTTTTTCTTGAGACTAGCACTATCAAAAACCTGACCAGAACCCTGAAAAAGGCTTAAGATTAACGAAGGTCTTCTCCCAATCTCCATCTTGTAAAGTAAAAGGCTCGCCTCCTCGAGTTTATGAGCATTGCACAGTCCATTTATAAGCGCATTGAAGGTCACAACCGATGGAACACATCCAAGCGACTCCATCCGATTAAATAATTCTTGTGCTTTATCGACCATTCCTTGCTTACACATTTCACATATGAGAATCGTGTGTGTGTAAACATTGTGCTCAGAAATCTCAAGACAAAGAGACTGCGCTCGATCCAAAAGACCCGTGTCACACAAACCTTTAATTATGGCATTGTAGCAATAAGCATCAGGAGTTAAACCTATCTGAGTCATCTCATCTAACATCCTAGCAGCTTCGCCAACTCTGCCCTCCTCTGACAAACCACGTATCATAATGGCATACAAAACAACATCAGGTGCAAACCCCTCCTTAAACATCCTCGTATACCACGCATGTGCTTCACTATATCTCCTAGCCCTAAAAAACGCATTAATAAGAGAACTATAGCTATTCTGATTAAGCGAGAAACCCTCTCTCTTCATCAACCATACAAAAGAAAGCGCTTCCTCTAACCTCCCCATCTTACAAAACCCATTCAGCACAACATTAAAAGAAATCATATCCGGGCACTCTTTTTCTTTCATAACATTAAACAACATAAGCGCCTCATCTACATTATTCGCCTGACACAAACCATAAAGAATAGAAGTAGTCGAAACAACACTAGGAACAATATTAACCTTCTGCATTTCATCAAGCATCTCACGTGCACCCTTGATGTTACCACTTTTACAAAACCCATCAATCAACATATTATAAGTATAATCATTAGGATCAACATTGGACTTAATCATGGTATTATACAAAGCAAAAGCAAGCACAAATAAGTTTTCCTTCAACACATCTCTCAAAACCGTGTTATACATATGAGCATCAGGAACAACACCAATATCGCGCATTTTACCAAATAACTCTATAGCTTTTCCGGTATGACCCGAGTAAGAATAAGACCTAACTAAAGCTCTAACGGAATCTGAAGTGACTAAAACCCCTTTTTTCTTGAGAAGCTCAAGAGCTTCCCAGTAAATGGAATGCCATTTCTTACGGATAAGGATGCGACTAACCAAGTAATAGGGCTTGCTGGTAAGAGTGTCGAATTTGAGAGCGACCCAGATGCAGAAACGAAGACCTGGTTGATCAGAGGAATTGTCGTGGTTTCTGCGGAACCCGCAGAAGCATGGGGTGTTGAATGATTTCTTCAACTTGGAGAGGGTCAACATTGTTGTGGTTTCTAGTTAGAATCAATCGGAATTGGAATTCAAATTTGACAGAAAATGAACATCGAATGAAACATGGTTTTGTTACTAGGGCTACGGTTGGGTTGGGTTGGGTTGAGTTGTGTGTCTGAATTTTGTGGCGGCGAATTCTTCGGGGTTTAAGGTTTTTTTTTGGTGGAGAAGGCTATGGTTCAGTTTGGTTGGAAAATAAAAATATAGTAAATAAATAAATAAATATTTATAAATTAGTGAAACAAAATATAAGTATAAAACAAAAGTTTAATAGAGGTGCAATTTCGATCTAATTTGATGAGATATATAATCATTATTGATTGATAAATTAATTTACCATGTTAGTCCATCCTCTCTTTTTTTTCATAAAATAATATGTTTAATTAATATTAATATTTATTTTTTAATCAAAATAATAAAAGTAAAATTGTCATAATATAATAAATGTTTAATATTAATATTTAGATTGATGAAAATATGAAATAGGATAGAGCATATTGGAATGGAAAATAGATATATCTCACTTCATTGTTTAAAAGTTTATTAATAATCTTATATTTCATTGCATTATGTAATTCCATAAAATTTCGACTCTTAATTAAAGAATAAATTATTTAAATATAATATGCAAACTCCTCAATTAATTTTAAATTTTTGTAAAGAAATTTAAAATAATTAATATAAATTTTCATTATCTTTTCAAATGAAGTATTAAATGAAATTAACAAAATTCAAACATTAACTCAATAATTTAAACAACCTGTTCTCCGATGTTACATATCAGAGCAATAGTTCTAACTAAATGACGATAAAACAATAAAGAAAACAAAGAGTTTCATAGTCTTCATCCAACTCATAGCAGCACTTAGTCCTCCTGAATATGTCTACAACATCGTACAAAACAACACAAAACGAACAACAAAGTGGGTGAGAATACACTCAAATATCTCAATGATGTAAAAGAATGCAAGGGTGACTTAAATTACATAATCAACAATAGACATTCAATTTGTTGAGATTGTAATTCCTTGTGTCGAAACAGTGTAGCTCGACAAAAACAACGATTAGTCGAAATTATCCTAATGTGTGTGTGTCGAGTTGTTTAGATGTCGAAGTGTCGAAGCAGGTTGCTTGACACAGAATTTCGATTTAGACTAAAATAGTAATTTGGACTTTTGTAATTTTTGGGTTTTCTCAATTATAAATAGAAGGAGTAACCCATATTTTGTAACAACGAGTATTCACAGAAGTTTGCAGTTGCAAAGTGAATAAAAGAAGTTTTCCATAGTTTGTGGGCGGAGATTCCGCAGTTGAAAATCATTCTCTTTTTCCTTTATTTTGTTAAAACTCTACTTTCTTTCTTTCTCGCTTTCTTTTCATTAACAGTTGATGTGCATAATCTTTCTTGAAATGAAGATTGATTAGGATTTCTCAAAAAAGTTTTAGGTTAATTCCAACATTTGGTATCTAGAACTCCGATTGTGATCCGAGGGAAGAAAATCACGATGGCGTTGAATAATCCAAACAGACATTTTCCGGCGAACCTTCCAATTTTCAAGAACATAATTATGAGAATTAGTGCAAGCAGATAAAGATGGTTTTCTATTATCAAGATCTCTGGGATCTTGTGAAGGAAGGAGTAGCACCGCTTGCAGAAAACGCGACGGATCAAGAAAAGGATGCATACAAAGAATTGAAGAAGAAAGATTATAAATCTCTCTTTATAATTCATCAACGTGTTGATCAAAATAACTTTGAAAAGGTTAGTGATGTAGAATTAGCGAAAGAAGCATGGAAAATCTTAGAGAAATTGTTTGGAGGCGCAGAGAATGTGAAAGAGGTGAGGTTACAAACTCATAATAGGACGTATGAATTACTTCAGATGAAAGAAAGTGAAACCATAACTAATTTCTTCACTAGTGTTACTAAATTGGTGAATCAAATCAAGGTATGTGGAGAAGTGTTGATATCAAGATTAGTTGTTCGAAAGATCTTGAGGTCATTGGCTCCAAAGTTTGACCACGTGGTAGTAGCCACAGAAGAGTTGAAAGACTTGTCAGCATTAATAAAGGAAAAGCTTCAAGGGACGTTCGAGTCTCATGAAAAAAGGATGGCTGAAAGAGCTACAAGAAACTCGAAGAGTGATATGGCTTTGCAGGCTCAGTCAGAGAAAGAAAAGAAAGGCAAAGGAAGTTGGAATGACAACAATGGAAGAGGAGGCTACAACAATTCGATAGGTCAAATCAGAGAAAATTTTGGAACCAAGGAAACTAAAGAGGTGGTGTTGCAAGTAGAGGAAGAGGTGGTGCTCGAAAACCTGACAAAAGTCATATTCAATGCTACAATTGTTAGGAGTATGGTATGTGGAGGCAAATCGCCACACATCACACAAGTCTGCAAGACATTGGTCAATGCAGGTTTCGATGATGACAAATTCCCTGGATAGATTGGAAATTATAAACTCCAGATCTACTAAAATAGATGCAACGTATCACCCACCATATCCTTTTATACTTATCTTAAAACTGTTGTAATGAATATACTATGTGTAGATAAAATGCAATCATGACCAAAGGCATGAAAGACCACAAACTGATGAATTTTTGCAGGTTTGCAGGGCATGAGTCAACCATAGGATCGGCGCATGCATCAGAGCAATTCTCCACTAGTTAGCGCACAAGGCAATGAGTCGACCATAGGGTCGGCGCATGAAGGAAAAACTTTCCAACGGGTCAGCGCGTAAAGGCATGAGTCGACCATAGGGTCGGCGCATAAGGGAAATAGTTTTCAACGGGTCAGCGCACGCCGACTGTATGGTCGACGCATACTGATGAATTTTCCAGATTTCCAAACAACACAGGCCATGCGTCGACGCACAGACCTGCTGCGGTCGACCGTTTGCACGGAAATTCTGTTTTTAAATGATTCCCTCTTATATTTGAAATACTGTTATGTCTAAAATTGGGTTGGCACTATATATACTTGTTTAACCACTTGTGTCATTTCAATATTTGATAATCTTTTGATTCATGTGTTCAAAAACAAGAAAGAGTGAAATAGGTGTCCAAGATTCATCATCATCATCTTCAACATCTTACAACATTTCAATTACACACAATCATTTTTGAAATGCATTTGTGATTCCCTCTTATATTTGAAATACTGTTATGTCTAAAATTGGGTTGGCACTATATATACTTGTTTAACCACTTGTGTCATTTCAATATTTGATAATCTTTTGATTCATGTGTTCAAAAACAAGAAAGAGTGAAATAGGTGTCCAAGATTCATCATCATCATCTTCAACATCTTACAACATTTCAATTACACACAATCATTTTTGAAATGCATTTGTGAGAGATTCAAGGTGATAAGGTTCAAAGCTTAGATTGGAGAATCAAGTTCGGGTTGAAGCTTGTGACAGGTTCTTTCTTGAATAAAACCGTTGGGGTTTTACCCTCCAAGATTGGTTTGAATTTTGGGCGTTTTTGGACGAGATTCTTCATCAAGGGTCAACCGAGCGAAGGTGATTGTGAAGAGGTGTTCTTCACAAGTCTAGTAGCGGATTCGGTGATTTTGAAGGGAAGATCTCGGGGTCGATTTGTTGCTGTTGAGATCAGCTGGAGCCGAAGGTTTGAACAACAACGTGTTATTCAATAAGGTGGCTGGAGTCGGAGGTCCATCAACACAAATCGGAGGACTTGATTCATCTTGAATCAAGGGGCAAGGAGTGAAAGCAACTTTCCACACATTGAGATTTCTGTTGTATATTTGCTGCTCAATCCTTGTATAAATTATTACATTCAACAGGTGATATCTATAAAATCTATCTCAATTCTAGTTTTAGAATTGAGGGCAGACGTACCCCGAAGCGAGGACGACGGGGGAACTGCCTCACCAAATACTTGTCTTCTCTATTTTTCAGCATTTACGTTATAGCTCAAAATAAGTGATTTTTGTATAAGCTCTATTGTCAAAATTGTGATATCAATTGAGTAAGAGGTTAAAACTCTGCTTTTGACTCCAAAGTACAACAAGACATTGTACTAGGCTAGTTGGAATCACTTACTCAACATAAATATCACTTGGAGTGTTTTGCACACCAAGTGTTTGACATATTGCTTGAACCAAAATTATCTTACTTGTGTATCTAGTTTTGGTTTGCTCTTTGAATCATTGGAACTAGGAATCCTAACAAATAAAGTAGATAATTGATAAGTGTTATTAGTGTGGTGATTCTATTTTCCAAATTGTCATTAATCCAAAGGCTTACGCATATCCGGTTTTCCAATAACCGTTCGTTTTAGACTATATTTTCCTCGGCCGCTTCCGCACTTAAAACATTTTTAAAACCAATTTTTAATTGGTAGCGCCGACTCAAATTTTAATTGGGGATCTATTCAACCCCCCTCCCTTCTAGATCCGTGTCATAGTCTAACAAGTGGTATCTAGAGCTCTGGTTATTCGGTGCTTCAAATACAATGTAGATAGAAAATGGCTAACGAACCAAAAGGGGCGTACAATAGAGCTCCCGTTTTCAACGGTGAAAATTATAGTTATTGGAAATACTGTATGCGGGTGCATATAAACTCCATAGACAGAAAAATATGGAACATTATCCTCAATGGTCCAATAGAAATTACTATGACCAATGCAGATAACGTAGTTGTGCCAAAGCCCGAAGCACAATAGACCGATGACGATGAGAAAAAAATACAATTATGATTGGAAAGCTAAAAACATCTTAATCTCCTCATTAGGTATAGATGAATACTATCGTGTATCCCATTGTCCTACTGCTAAGGCCATGTGGGATTCACTACAAATAGCCCATGAGGGGACAAACGATATTAAGTTGGCTAGAATCAACACATTAACACAAGAGTTTGATCTCTTTTTCATGGAGCAAGGGGAAATCATTACTGACATGCAAAAGAGATTTACTCATCTCATCAATCATTTACATTCATTAGGTAGGCCTGTTTCCAATG